GACCCAAGTCCAGCATGTGGTCAGGGGAGGACTTAGGGTAAGTGTCCACTCTGGCTGGCTGTGGCATGTGGAGGTGGTGCTTACCTATTCTCAGAACTCCACTCCATTGTATCATTTGGGTCACAGACTTGGTGGCTTCACTTGGGATGCACGGGTGACATATCACTGCCACCTCTCAAGCCTCTACCTAGATCTGGTGAGCTTCTGTCTGTCTCCTGTGTCACCCACTGCCTGGCCCGACACCTGGAGTGCTGACAATAATTGTGGAGTGAGAGCTCAGTCCAAGTATGAGGTCTGCACAATAGCAGTATTTCCTGTCACTTCTCCAGCCCCTGGAGTCTGTAGTTGTAGTGTGAGAGCCACCATAGCCTGTACACACGTGGGTGAGGTGGTGCCCGGAGTCCTTGATTACAGGGACAGTCGATGGGCTGGGCTCAACTGTGGCCAGTGTGCTGACCCCTGTGCAAGGCCCCAAGAAGCCAAGATCCTGGTTCTTAAGGGGACAAGGGTAGTAAATCAGCTCCACACCTAAGCCTCAGTGCAGCAATCCAGACCAGAGCTTCCATGCTGTCAAGCTAAACCCATCTGGAGGCTGTCAGCACCTGCTGCTCAGGTGGTTTTGCTTCAGCAAGCAGCTTGGCTTTGGAAGTTTGTCCTAAGCACATATCTAGGGGAGGCATCAGGGTGTTGTTTGTAATGGGGGTGGGGGCTGGAAACAGGCCTTGGTGGTACAGGTCTACCAGCAGGCTGGAGGAGGTAAAATGAGGCATGTAGGGACTCATAGGACCCCCTTGGGAATCAGGAGACAAATGTAGGCACTGGCTCCATGTGTGGACTAGCCAGTAAGTCCTTTATGAAAGGAAATAATGTGCATGCTTTGAAACTTTTAAATGTGGAGGGGAGGGTTCCTCTCCTTCCTTGTTCCCAGCTGCCTAGGACCCTGTCCAGAGGTGACTGTACCTTGGATCTCACCTGCAACCTTCTGGGGGCAGTGTGTTGGTGTTTTGTGGAAGGGAGCTACCAAGCTGTAATGCTGTCAACCCTTCGTGTGACAGCACTGTTGCTATTACCATAGTTTGAACATTAGTCTAGATTCACATGGCCTCTGCTGCATACTCATGTTATGGGGAACTTGGGGTATTTTCACAAATATCCAGGCTCTGTGCCTTCTCCCCCATCAATGTGGGAATCCCTAGGGGCAGGGGGCACAGTTTAGTCAGAATTGCTGTGGTGGTTGAATGAGAATGTACTCCATAGGATCCAAGTGTTTGGACATTTTGTCCCCAGCTGGTGGTGCTGTTTTGGGAGGTCTGGAAGGTGTGGCCTTGCTAGAGGAAGCGCATCACTGGGGCGGGCTTTGAGAGTTCTTAAGCCTTGCTGAATCCCCAGTCCCCCTCTGCTTCCTGGGCCTGCTTGAAGATGTGAGCACTTGAGTCTCTGCTCCTCCTCTGGCCACCTCACCATGCCTCCCTGCCATAACAGACTCTAGTCCCTCTGGAACCTGGAACAGTAAGCTCATGTAAACTCTTCCTATAAGTTCCCTTGGTCTTGATGTTTTATTACAGCAACAGAAAAGTAACTGATACGATCACTGTGGGTGGTGAGGGGTGAGGTAGCTTTTGTTTTGTCCTTTTTGTCCGGAGGAGAAGATGCAGGCTCAGACCCTAAAGTAGGCTGATGCAGTGTCCTGCTCCACAGCCTGGGGTGGAGCCTGCCTTTGCCCACCTTCAAGAGAGTGGTGCCTCCCTTCTGTGTATGTGTTGGGTGTGTGGTAGTTTTCCGCCTGGCCAGGTCCAGAGCTCCAGGACTCAAGAAATCCTTTTTGGTCCTGGGCCATCCCATTTTCAGCATTAGTGGGCAACAGTTCCTTGATGCCAAGCACAGCCCCCCAGCCCTGAGTCTTAGTGTGGACGGTCCCAGCTAGAGGCTCTGGAGGAGCACCCTGAAGGTTTGATTAACTGTGGTTCCCCTTACCTTAGTTAGTACCTTTTGATTTTTAATGGAAGCATGGGAATGACCTCTTGAAGACCATTGCTTTAGTGAGCCCCACCCAGCGTCTTGAGTTCAGAGACCCCTAGGGGAGGAGCCACACTGCTGATGGGCAGTCCACTGCTATTGCTCTTTATCCTGGGGTTCTTGCTCTGCACCCCCTACACACATGCAGTCAACTCTTGGACTTTGCACAGATCCGTTGGTGATCTTTTCAGTCTTGGGAGTGGACAATTCCTGGGGTGGCCGGCAGTTCACCAGCCAAACGCCTATGTGCACTTCTGAGCCCACAAACCTGTCCTGACCGGTGGAGCTCCATGGTGGAGGCTGCCCTTCAGTGTCGCCTTCTGACATGGGGCTTTTCTTCATGTGAGGACAGTGGGCTTTAGAGTTTGAAGGTTATTTTAATCATGCTGACCTGAGGTCATACTGTGAAAGAGGCAGACTTCACTTTCTCTTGCTGTGAAATGTGCATGAAACCCCCTGAGGTCTCTGTTGGCTTATAAGCACTAAAAAGAGGTCCTAGGACCAGAGAGCACTCCCACTGGATCACACAGGCCCCGAGAGGTCCAGAGAGTGGATTTTATGAGGCAGTTAGACGCTAATGAGGCTCAGCAGTTTTGGTGTCCTGCTAGTTTTTATTTGCTCTGGTTTAAAATTCAGCATGCAAAGGCAGAGCCAGCCAATCTTGCATCAGCCCATCTTCTGAAGGGCTGCTGTGGGCAGACCTGCATGGCTGTGCCCGGGCATGTTATAGGACAGCCATCATTGAAAGCCATTGGTATTAAATGCAGACCCTTTCAAGTCGTCCTCTGGAGGATGTACGCTTCTCTTCTTCAGCTGAGGGATTCATCCCACAAGTGAAGAGATCTTAGAGGACCCCTTCAGCTGGCATGGTTAGGGCAGTTCTCTGTTTCAGTGGCTGTTCTGCTGGGGCTCTGCCCAGGACAAGTGCCTTTGGGTCTCCCCTGGAGTGGCTCCAGCTGCTCACTCACCCTGGACGCTGGGCTTAGGCAGAGCCCCTTTCCTCAGTCCCTGGAAAGCAGCTGTACAGCCCTGTCTCCAACTATAGATCCAACTCTCCAGCTGCCCATTGGTTGTGTAGCCAGACACAACACACCTAAAGACCCCCCCCCCCCGCCGCCCATTGGGTGTGTACCCAGACCTAAAAGGGGCGGTCTAGAACAGACCCCCCCCCCCCCCCCCCCCGCACCCCCCATGAACCAGTCATAGGTCCCAGTCACTACTGCCCCGGCACAGCCCAACCTCACACCAGTGCTATTGTCAGAACCATGAGGCCAGAGAGGCAGGATCCCTCCTGCTGTTTCCTGTCCTAGCCGCAACACTGGGGCCTCTTGACCTCAGAGCACCCACTTCTGATGCCGTGCATGACAGGTGCCCCCTGCTGGGCTTGTGACTGAGCATGACTGAGCATGTGATGCTCACTCTTGTCTTCCTATGATGATCAGCTCCTGGAGGAGCTAGGCTTCTCCCTTGGTACCTAAGTAAAACTGCCATGAACACGGTGCCCAGGCAGGATCAGTCTGTGCCACCTGCCTCTGTGTCACTTCCAGCCTCCTCCAGCATGGCTCCCAAAGCCCTTTAGGCTGGATGAGCTGGGCTAGGCCTCAGGTAGTTGAAGCCTCATAAGTCCCTGAGATCTTTGGTCTTGGAACTGCCAGCACTGGCTTGAGCTAGACTTGGGGGTGCACACCTGTGCCGGGTTCAAGTATCTGTGGCCTGTGTAGAGGCAGTCTCATAACTTGAACGGGTTAGCTGTTGTCTGCATTTTTTAAAAAGTAGTGTTAGGGGCTAGAAAGATAGCGTAGTGGTGAAGAGCACTGGCTGCTCTTGCAGAGGACCCAGGTTGGGTTCCCAACACCCACATGGTAGCTAACTGCCCATAATTCCAATTCCAGGGCACCCAATACCCTCTTCTGGCCTCCACAGGCATTGCATGCATGGGTACACTTGCATACATTCAGGCAAAACATTCATACACATAAAATAGAAGTAAATAAATTTTTAAGTAGTTTTAGTATCTGTTCAGGTATTTGCACTGTGTGCGCGTGCACATACACGCACGCACACAAATTTACTGTTTGTCCTGATTTGAAATATGAAAAGGCTCAGACTGTTCCCATTACTGTAACGAGACATCAATACCAATGGCTAGCCTGAAGGGTAATGGCAGGACCTGGAGTGTCCTGCAGACACAGAAACGCCCTCTCTTTGCAGCACAGCTCCCTCCGCCATGCTTATGCAGTCGTATGTGTAGGCTGCATAGAGCATCCTCCTGTTGTTGCCCCGTGTCCCTGCCGTGCTCTGCCTGTCTGTGGTTCTGAACCTGGAGCTCCCTGCCCCACGGCAGCACCTGGGCTCCAGCCCCTGAGGTCCTGCTGACAAGGCCGATGCTAGCAGAGGAAGCCGGAGCCTTTGTTCTCTCAGCTCCCAGTGACACTGCAGCCACCCCATCCATGGCTTCTTTGGTCCTGAAGTAGTTTCCTGCTGTTACCCTTCAGGCTGGCCATCAGAGGCTCCCTGAGGCCCAACCTTGTCCCCTTCCCCGTGCTGGCTCCCTTTCCCACCTTCTTCCCCAGGGCTGTGTTCAGCTCACTGTCTCCCCAGCCAGGACCCTGGTGACCAGAGGCCTCTTCATCAGCGGTTCCCTCACTGGTTCTCAAAGCTAAACTAGAGTCCGTCCACCATGGTTAGAGTGTCTTGAGAGCGAGGCGTTTCCTAGGCCTGACCCCTTGTTAGCTCTCCCTGAGTGCCACTGCTGCCTCCTTTCCTCCTGCCCATCACGCTATTGACAACCAGTGAGAGCGCTGGGCATCTGTACCTGGAGGTTGTCCAGAACAGGCTTCTGCAGGCAGGGCTGCCGCATCGCCATGGATCCCTGCTGGGCAGCAGCGCAGACCTATGGAGGAGTGCTGGGCGGGTGGTGATGGACCCGGGGGCTGGGGAAGCAGCCATCTCTAAACAGTGTGCCCATGCCTTCCCTCCAACAGCTGCCAGGCCGCAAGTACAGCCCTGGATACAACGCCAGCGTAGGTGACAAATGGATCTGGCTGAAGTGAACAGTGCCCTCCACGCATCTGTGCTACAGCCATGAAGATGTCTGCTCTTCCCCACTCCGGATGCCAGAGCTTTACCAGATACCAGGAAAAAGCAAGTGATCAGGGAACTACCAGGAGAAATGGCCTAGTGGAAACAGTCTACCTGTGCCCTGGCAGCAGGGTTGAAAGAAATCAACTTCCATTGATAAGGTTCTGGAACCTTCTAGCTTTAGTTTGGAATCATCCGTAATTATCACTGGGGGAAAAAGCTGTTTGAAAGATCCGCTCCCACTGGAAGCTGCCGTGTGTCCCTGCGGCCCTGTGTCAGGCAGCTTTCCTGAACTGTCCCTCCCAACTTGAAGAAATAAATCTGGCTCTGTAGCACCTCCTGCGCAACATACGTGCATGCTCACCCCATCCTGTCGCTCCATGCCATCCTGGGTTTGGGTCTTTGCGCACGCTGTTGAAGCGTATACATCAGCGGAAAGCAGAAATGTAGAAATACGAGATTTGCAGAACAGCAAGTGTTGTCCTTTTTTTCCTTTCTTTTGAATTTTTGTGAATTTCTATGTTTTGATCATATTTAGGCCCCTCCCCTGACTACACCCCTTCAATACCCACTGCCCAATTTCCTGTACTGTTATATAAAGGCCTAGCGGGTCAAACCTGTGTCCCCAAATGCCCTGCATTGTGGATCCACCAGAACCTGGTTACTCTCTCCAACGTCACACCGTTAAAGAAAAGTGACTCCCAACACCACCGGTGGCTATAGCTCCTCAGCTAGGGCTGGGGCTTCCTACCCACCTCCCCTCTTCCGTGCTGGGCTTATCTGCTTTGAGCTGCTGTGGGTCTTGTACAAACGCTTTTCTCCAGAGAAGGTTCACTTGATGGCTGCCCTTGCTGTCTCCTCCCTCTGCAGGGCAAAGCTGAGCTTGGGTGTAGGCACAGAAGCAAAATCAGATGCTGTTACCTCTTGAAACTTAGGGGAACAGTAAAAGCGCTTTGCAAATTTTGCGCATCAGCGTTGTTAGGGAGTCATTGTAGGTTGTCAGTGTGTTTCTGCTATGTCCACTGTTGTGGCTGTACCTTGCACATGTGATTTACATGTAACCTAATTAAACAATGCCATTTACCATTCTGTTCCTTAGCCGTGTTCGGGTCCTTGCAGCCACATTAGACAGGACAGAGAGAACATTTTCCTCTTCAGGAAGGTCTGCTAGGCCTTTGCTGTGGGATGTGCTGAAGAATCAGACCACCTGCCACCTGCTTCCTTCCCTCCGTCTCCTCTGCTGCAGTGGAGCAGCAAAGTCTTGGACAATCCCTGGAGGTCTTGTGTCTGTGTCCCGTGAACCACTGACCAGAGAGTGTCTGTAATTACTGGGCTGTGCACTGCTGCCTGTGGTGCAAGGAGCTAGCAGTGAAGCCCTGGACAGGTCGGCCTGTCCTCAGCAGGGCTGCTGCAGCCACCTCAGATCCTGTCCTGTGCGTCGCAGCTCACATGCACTTGGCCTGCCTGATGGTCCATGTGTTTGTGTCAGACCCTGATGGCTCCGCTCCCTTGGTGCGATGTGATGTTCGTGATCGGCCGAGTCCACCTGCCTCACTTCCTGGTGTTCTCTGTGTACTGGGAAGACAGTGCGAATTCCCAGCCTTCTCCAGGCTGCAGCCCTGCCGAGAAGGCTGGTGGGTCTCTAATCTGATCTCAGTGCAGCATCTGATTTAGCTTCACAAAATGCTTGCATTTGCTTCAGACTGGTGCTGAAATAAAAACGTGCATTTTGAATATCCCATGTCTGAATCCTCAGCACTTTGAAGGTCAGGAACTAAACCCACTGTGACGACACTAGTTTTGTGTCTGCGTTTTCTAGTGAAGAGAAAGTCCTCGTGGTTTTCACATCCCCTCAGCAGAGCCAGGCTCAGCTGGTGGCAGCCAGCATTCTCTTCAGCCGAGTCAGACTGCTGCTGCCCACTGCCCACCACATGGCTGTCGAGCTGTGGTAAATAACCACCCCTCCAGGCAAGAATGTGCAGGCCTGCTGCCCTCTTGCAGGGGTCGGGGTACCCAGGACCTGCAGTTTGGCTGTGCTTTGATCCAGCAGAAATGAGCAGAGCCCTTCTGCTTCACGTGCTCCCCACTTTTCTGAAGCCCATTAGCTCCTAATGGCTTAGGAAGATTCTGTGTTCTGTTTACCAGAAAAGACTTCTGGACTGGCTGCTTGTGAGCACTGTGTGTTGGAGCCTAGATGCAGGGAGGCAGCGGTTATGGTTGAACAGCCCTGCCTGGGTCAGATCTGCTAGGCAGGGAGATAGTGCAATAGGCAGGGCACTGCTCTAGTTCCTGTCCTGCACAAGGGCTTTGGAGTAAAAGCATGTGTATGCAGCAGCCACTGGCTGGTCAGAGTTGCATGTCCATGGACTTTACATGTAAAGCTGGGCCCTGAAGACTGTTCTGGGAGACTCAGGAGCCAGAGCTGATGGTGCTCGTCCAGGGCCCTTTCATCCTGAGGAAGTACCTTTCTCATCCGCGTGACCCTGGCCTCCCTGTCAGTAAGCTGGGACTATCGGTTTTGGTTTGCCCCATTCTGCTCAAGACCCTCACCTGACATCCCTGGACCAGAGAGCTCCAATACAGGATTGCCCCAAAGGAGCAGCAATGAGGGACCATACCAGGCAAGACAGGCATCAGCACCCATGAACTGTTGGCCTTTGCTGAGCTTAGAATTCTAACAGTAAGGCAGCAAGACAGTCATGACTTCCCTTAAAACTGTTGATATTCACCTATTTATACAACGTAATAGTTTTGAAATTTGGAATTAGGAATTGCTTCAATAAATAGTGAAGTTTTCACAAGTGAGCATTGCCTGTCAGAATCCAGGTTGGGGACCGGGTGGGAAGTGCTATGGTCCCTGCTGTTCTTTCCTGAGGCTGGACCTGGTGATTGTATGAAACCTGACTTGAATTTTGAAAGGTGTTTGCTCCAGCATGGTCACAAGGCAGTGGGTGGCCAGAGCCTCTGGTGTACCTGGCACCCTGTTCAGTACAGGGTAAACGTTGATGGACAGGTAGGTGCCACCGCAGCCCTAGAGGTGTGGCAGCCCCAGCCTCAGTCCCTTGATGTGAAACTTGAGCAGGCCTCAGTGCACCAGCGGGGGCCTGTGCCACCATCTCTACCCCCACCCCAGCTGATCAGGCAAGCGTTAACCCCAGGCCCCTCTGAGGTGGGGCTGTAGGGGGTGGGACTTGGAGGGTGGGTGAAGGATTAAGGCAAAAGGACCAGAGTTACTGAGAGCCTGATGGGGTGGACTCGGGGTCAGGGGTGAGGGATTAAGGAAAGAAGGGACAAATGGCCAAGTGGAAACCCCACTGATGTGATTTTTCTACCTTGGAGCTGCTCACCCACCAGAAGAACACAGGTTAGAGCACCTGCGGCTCCTTGCTGTGGGCTGTGCTGTTTAGGATCACAAGTGAAAAGTCTGGGGGGGAAGCAGGCACACTGCACGTCACCCTGTGGCCTCCGAGCAAGGCTGCTGTTCTGGCTTTGTAGTCCATAGGTGCGCCTCCAGCCCTCTGTGAAGGAGCAGCCCAGCCAGGACCCCAGCCCAGCCAGGCTGTCACAGTGCCAGCGCTGTCCTTGGGGCAACATGGCCCCAGGTCATCCCTGTAGTGCTGGGCCCAGACCAGCCAGGGGGGTACAGAGGCCGGTGCACCAGCCTTCACCTTGCCTTGCTTGTGATGGCCACTCATATATTACAGGAGTCCCCACCCTGAGTGGTATTGTCCCTTCTGTTTACACATCTCAGATATGATCATGACACTGACCATTCCCAACACTGAGCATGGGTGCTGGGGCAGCAGTGCATTCCATAAGCTGTCATTCCTTGTAAACTGGCGCTCAATGCACTGCAGTGACCAAACATGGTTTCCAAGACCTGTCTGCAGACCTGTACAGTGGACCCTCCTGACTTTGCCTGCCTCCTCTCATCCTAGGTGTCTGGTCTGTACTGATGGGCACGGCCATTGCTCACTTTGGCCGTGGCTGGGTCCCTCCTCTTCCCATAACCCAGCTCATAATGCGTCATCTTCCCTGGTCCTGTCTGCACCTTCCCTTCCTATGCTGAACCACTGTCCTGGGCCCCCATCAGGCCACAGCCAAGTCAGTACCCAACGGCCGTCCACACACAGTGGCCAGTGGGCACCACACAGATGAATCCTCGGCAGACCCTACTCAGCCTTGGCCTCCTGGGCCCCACCCACTCTGTGTCCCAAGTCCTTCAGGAGCCTCCTGTCAGGCAGGGTGTCCAGGGTGGAAGGAGCTGACCAACTGGTCTGCACTATCTTGATACTGTTGGTAGGATAGGCCCAAGCTCAAGCCAGCACCAAACCCCAGTGCTGCCTAGAGGACATGGTTCCTAGGTGTGTCTGCCTTCCTAGGGTTTGAAGGACTATGCTGGCTGTGAAGTCTGCTCACCTGGGGATCATGGAGACCCCTCTACCCTCTCTGGCCAGCACGCAGAAGGGGTTTCGGGTCTGGCCTGAGCCCTCTGAGGCTGCCTGGATGCCTTGCTCAGGGTGGGATTGGCACATAGGCTGCTCTGATGTTTGTACTGACTCAAAGCTTTCCATAGTAGCAGGCATGGAATGGCCTTATTCCTGCTGTGTGCCTGTCAAAGGCCCTGTGGCAACAAGTCCTGCCTGAGGAGGGGCAGTCTCACTGAGCAGAAGACAGAACAGTGCTATCCAAGGCAGATGAGGCGTGCAGGGCCTGCCCCAGACTGGTGCTGCTGACCAGTCAGTTGTCACTGCCACAAGGGTGGCGTGGAGACAGCCTTGCTGCTCAGGCCACCTGCTCGCAGTGCGCCCCCCCCCCCCCCAAGCCTCTGGGTGCTTGGTCAAAGTGACTGGGAGCGCCTTATAACTTTGATTAACATGAAGCCACCCAGCTCTCTCCAGCAGGCCACCCAAGTCAGGACCAGCATAAAGCCTACCTGATAGTGTTTTCTTTCTGTCTGTAAACCTTCTCCTCTTCTTAATCACACAGATGGTTTATAAGTATAATTTCAGAATCTTGGAAGGAATGACAATTTTAAAGTCACATCTCCATTGTCCCACCACTGAAGATTCTTCTTGTTTAAAGGTACTGGGACCCAGATTCGATGTATGTAATTGGCTGTCTTCCTGGAGCTGTTTTTGACAGTGCCCAGTATCCATTGTGTCCTCATATGGATTTAAGGGGACACCGTGAGGCCACAGTAGGAAGGACCTGGCCAGGGGTCCTTGACAGGACTTCCAGGGTGTAGGATGTAGGATGGGCCCTGGCTGCACCCCAGAGACCCCGCTGAGCTCCTGGGGTTTCACCTGTCCCTGTCCCTCACTGCTCCTCTTTCTGAATTGCTCTCGTTCTTGTGGTCCTGTGTTCAGAGGCAGGAGCAGTCCCAGAAACCACCCAGATATGAGGGGGGCTGGGCAGTGCCAGCAACCGTGAGGTATTTTGCTTGTTAAGCAAGTTGAAAGCACAGCTCCTGCCCTCCTGCCAAGCTCTGCAGCCTCACGACAGAGGAAACAGCCTAAGGGCCCAGAGCCAGGGCATTTCTGGCATGTGGGCCTTGTCCAATGGATGTGAGTGAGGCCTCGGCCAGCAACAGGGAGTGAAATGATGCCACCTTGCAGCCAACCTGGCAGTTGGGGCAGTACGAGACAATACTAAGGGACAAGGGGCACACACGGGTATTCCATTCCCCATTCACACCACCACCTGCTGAGCCTGGGGCTGCCATGATGGACACAGACCTGAAGATGGTAAATCTCAGATCAGAGCCTCCATCCCAGGCATCCCCAGCCCTTCACACAGGCCCCTTCCTTCCCCTCCACAACCCACAACATCAGAGTCCAAGGTCACCTTCATACCAGGCCATCCGTGCTCATAGCCCACTCCCAGCCTGCAGGAGACAACAGGACCCCACATGGTTGGCTCATCCTGGACCTGGTTGGCTCACCAGGTCTACTATGCTCCATCCTTCAAGGTGCCCCTCAGAGACTCAGACTGCCCTCTACAGGACAGAGCAGGTGCGTGGAGAGGTGAGGGTTGAGGCAGAATTGGAGTTTCATTATGAAGGGTGAGCCAGCTGGGGTAGAGGCAGTGCTTATAGACGCTGATCACAGGCTGGTGGGCCCCTCATGGGTTGAGTTTTGTGGCCAGGTGGTGCATACCTGCCTTTAATCGCCTCATAAGCTGTACCTCAGTTCTGCCAGTTTCAATAAAAACAGCAGTTACTTTTGTCAAAGACGATCATGTCCTCAGCCTAGTCGGCTTGCTGCTGCTCCTGATGGTTTCCTGGTGGACAGGCTGGTGAGGATGGCTGCTCAGAGGCCCTGTTGTTGATGAGGCTGAGGTAATGAAATACTCTTCCCTGTGAGACATGAGGCGGTAAAGTCCAATATAAGGATCGTGGTAAAGGGAGAAACCGACCTCACTGGTCCGCATCACCGCCAAACTCAGAGCCTGGAGCGCACTGTTTTCTCAGGACAGCAAGGGAGTCTGTGAGGAGCAGCCATGGAGACAGCAGCTGAGCCTCTGTGGTTGTGATGCAGATCCTGTGCATTTTCAGTAGGAGATACCTGACTGCGGACGTTGCCGCCTTGGACGTGTTTCCTTAGGGATGTGCCGAGCCTCGGCCCCAACAGCAAGGCAGGACGTGGAGCTCAGCGATGGGGGCCGAGGAGGGGTAAGTGCTGCTCGCCCGTTCACCCACCTCCCCGAGACTCTCAGACGCAGCAGGGAGTCTAGTCAAGC